CATAGAATTAGTGGCCCAGATTCATTCGTACACTGTCTGAAGTAAGAATGAGATGTGAATATATATAGGTAATAAAAACAAGGATAATATTCATCAAGAAAAATGCCGGGATCTTCATAGTTCAAACAGAGTTCCCAGATTTGGTCTGTTTTAAGTTTTGTGTTTATTTACTTTGAATACAGTCTGTTCACCATTATTTTATACTTCAATCAGGCAACACAGTAAGAAATATTCAAATGTACAGCTAATATTAACTGTTTTCATAAACTAAATTTAAAAAATATAACTCCATATTTTGGAATCCAAGTTTTCGTCACACTTAAAGGTACAGTGTGTAGAATTTAGGGATATCTAGTGTTGAAGTTGCATGTTGCAGCTGAACACACCTCTCCTCACCCTCTCCTTCCAAACATGAAAAACAACCTATAGCAGCCTTCAGTTGTCATAAAGACTCAAAAAATGTTTAGTTTGTCCAGTCTGGACTAATGTAAAAAACATGGCCTCCGTAGAGAGGACCCGCTCCATGTAAATATAAAGTATTTGAATATAAAGGACGTTTCTGGGGTAAAGAAAACTACAATTCATACAATTTAGAAAACTATTGAAAACATCATGAGGATTATTCTACATTAAATTTCTGCCAATGGTTCCCTATCATCTAAATCTTACACACTGGAACTTTAACAAGCCATTTGAATGTTTTAACACATTTTTTTTTTCAAGATATCAAAAATAATCTGCGTTTATATTAGTCATGAAAACAATAGTTAGTTTGCAGATATTAATCTGAATTGAAGACTTCTGAATTTTTCTTATGAAACGTCAAGTTAATTTAATTTTTAAGCACATTTAAAACAGCCAGCAGTGACCAAAGTGCTGTACAATAAATACAATTACAAGAATAAAATACGATAAAAGAGAATAAAGTGTATTATAATAATACGTCAGCACATCTGGAGGAGGACCCAGAGGAACATCCTCTCTCTCTCCCCTCTCTCTCTCCTCTCTCTCTCTCTCCACGTCCACATACTGAGGGGATCGAACACCTCCACCAGGAAACACGAGTCACACTGTGAGAAGTTGGAGCTGCAGCCACCTGATGATTCCACTCACTTTATATTCTCCTCGGTTGTTTCCAGCTCAGATCTGAAGTTTGTCCACGAGGATCCGACCCCGTGTTTTCTCTCTCTCTCCCTCTCTCTCTCTCTCTGCCACGTTTTCACATCATAACGGGAGCTCCTGCATCCATCGACATTTCTGTTTTCCCTGCCAGGACGTGTAGAAAGTTAGTTTTGTGAACTTTTTTCTCTCGAGTTTTTTGTGAGGGGCGGTAGTTTGCAGAAACCAGAATGCTGCCCCAGCTCCTCACCCTGGCCTGTGCGGTCTGCTGCTTTGGTTTAACCTCCGTCTCTGCAAATGTGCTAAAAGCTGAGGTAAGTCGCATGGAAACACACTCACACCTTGAAGAAGTATGGACATGTGTTCAGAGATGCAATGTTTTCATGCTATAATGTGTCCTCAAGCTGTATTTTCCACTGTGATCACTCTCTTTCATCTGTTTTCTGCATTGTTCGTGGTGAATTTTACATTTTACAAACTCAAGTCTTGATTCTACATACATTTTATTTATGTCTAAGCTTTACTGTGTTGGGTGAAGGTGTTTTGCTGCAACCTCGAGGGTCTTTCAGTCTCTTTTTTATCTAAAGATGGGAGAAGCTGAGGAAGAGGAGGGAGCAACTGTTTATACTCTGTTGTTCATTCTTCCTCCCTCAAACACTCCAGATCTTTGTTTTTCTCCCATAAGGGAGTTGGTCTGAGTTGAGGAGATGGAAGTTCATCCAGAGAAGAAAATGACATGTCAAACTTATTATGTTTTTTTTTTGAAGGACAGGGTGGAGGAGGAGGAGGAGAACCAGGCGTGTAGGGGTAGTGTACAGTTTGGAAAACCACAGCTGGGCTGCTTTGTTCTGAGAAAGAGAGGTGGGGGTGGGTGATGGTGATGTGGGGGAGGGGGTTAATAGTTTTCATCCGCCTGTTTAGGCCGCACAGTCAGCCGGCCAGGAAGTTTGTCCGCCTTCACAACAAGCTGGACATGGGGCGCTCCAGCTGGGACAGTGTAGGCCTCTGGGGCCTTGAGGCTGTGAAACCCTCCTCCACCAAAGTGCAGTTCAACTCTCATCTCAACAACACATTTTGTCACCAGGTCTCGTGCAGCAGCAGCAGCGGCTCGGTAAATGACCGGGTATTTTGCCCTGAAGGCAGTGCTTCGTCCCTGAACATTCTAAGTTCACCTTGCAGATAACATCAATAACAAGCAGTGTGGGGATAAGTGCATGGAAGGGAATGTAACACATCAGCATTAGGTCACATCAAGTCACAGGAGCAGTAAACACGCCTGTTTTTTAAATTAAGATCCATGAATTAGTCTCAGATAAACCAACGAATATGTCAAAATATTCAACTATTTCTCAACGTTAAAGGAAGTGAGTCTGCTCCAAAATTTGATGGGTTTTACGTCGCATCCGGTATAAAAAACAGACGAGAACACATAACTTCCAACAACTGTAGCTTATAGAATACAATGATTTGTCCTTCATCATTTCCCAGACTAACATTTCAAAGAGTTGCCCATACGTGCCTCTCTGTGATGAATAGTCAGCTGTCACAGGAAATTGATTCACAGAGGAAAATAGCCCATTGGCAATAAATGCAGAAGTAAAAAAAAAAAAACACCATGCTGTCATTTTAACACACACACAGGATGCATGAAGGAGCGAAGGACGACCTTAGTCACTGACCACAATCCGCTGGCGTGTGAGTCAAACCAGACATGGTGGATAACTTTGGAGAGTCAGACAGTTTATGAGATGCCACAGGCCGCTGCCCTCCTGCGGCGACGCACCGACACAGTGATGAATGTCTGTAAACAAAGTGAGAAAACATGACTGTTTACCGCAGCTGGAGGACAATACCTCTAACATCTAGCATCCCTGCAGCTGCACATCACTGCCGAAACAATAACGGGCCTGATTTATAGGGAGATCAGGTTATAAGTGAACATGTTGTGCAGGTTGTGTGCTGTGATGCTGCCAGAGCCAGTCCTGATGCCATGAGAGGATAAGCTTTAATTACGGCTCGGGGATGACATCACCTGAGAGCTGCACATGAACCCTGTGATCAAGAGATAGACGCGTCTGCATGCGGAGAAGGTCCAGTGAACTGGAGCTGCAGAGACGGGAGAAACAAACTTGAGTGACATCAAATGTTTTAATTAACGTCACCAGAGCTCAGTTTTCATTGGGCTGGGAGGGGTTGAGCAAGGCAAGCAGACGGAGACACTGAACTTTGAGGAATTTTGTGGTTTCCCCGCGTTGCTCAACATCTGAACATCCCACTCTGACTTTGACAAACTAAACCCCCACTTAATCCAAGCTGAGTGAAAAGGAGAAGCTCGGCAAATAGAGGAATAAGACCTCAGCTATTCTCTGAAAATCCCTCCTCTGGTGAGGCCTTCGCACCTTCCCCTCATCTGTTTTCATTCTCCTCTTTTTTGCCTCGTCTAACCTTTTCTGCTGAAATGAAAATGCAAATCTGAACCCTGCGAGTAAAGGAAGTGGGCAGCAATGATAACAACAGAGGTTAAAACAGGATATCTCTATATCTGGCTCAAACAAAATAATAGGAGATTTCCCGTTGCCATCTGGAGACATGTCTCGTGATCGCAGCGGAGGGCTGCAGATGTGGCCAAACACACATCTGGGTTCAATTCTCTTTATCTCGACATAGAGTCGCTGTTGATGTAGCATCAAAGAGGAGGCCTTGCTCAAGATCAGTGCGTGCTGCTGTGGCAGGCGGCGGCAGGCGGCGGCTGCTCAAGACATGTCAGTACTCAGCTGGATCGGTTTTAATGTGAAACTGATGGACTTCAAGGGAGAGAGGGAGTTTATCTGAGATCTACAGAGAAGAAAATAAAAACCGAGAGGACATGAAAGAGAGAAAGTTTTTGTCTCAGATGCTCAGCCGGTTGGATTTGACTCTAGTTGATATGTGGCATAGTTTCCTACTAAAAGACTTTAGTGGACAGCAACTGATTACTTTTTCTCGAGTGGTTTATAGAAGTAAAGTGTTAGTACTTTCCTAACTTCTACTGTAATGGATTCTTTGATCCGCACTGCATCCTTCCACCAAGTGTCGTGGAAATCCGTACAGTAGTTTTTGCATCATCCTGCTGTCAGATAGACAAACAATTATGAAAACATAACCCTCTTAGTCCGGTCAAGTCAAACTACAAATCAAATAACCAATGCATAACCACATTAATTCACCAATAATGACCTAAAACAGGATATGTAACTATACTGCATCCTTTTATGTGTGATATTATAGTTAAACTTATTATTTATAGTAAAAGTCTATTTAGTTAAGATAAGGAAAATCTCCATCAAATCAGAAATTAACTGGAAATAAGAAGTATCAAGCAAAACCAAAAAACGTGAGGATAGTCTATTACAGGTAAAAGTACTACATTCGAATATTTACATCAGTGAAAGCAAGTTTTATCAGCTAGTCTACTGTAAGTACTCAGTATGTGGCATGGAGAAGCAGTGTTTACCAGTTAACCATTTAAAAAATATAATATCAAATAAATGGTGTAATACATATTAATAAAGTATAAAATAAATAAACGTCAAGAACAGTTTATTCTTCCTGTAGTTTATAGGATTATAGGAACATTAGTCTTAAAGTAGACTGTCATTTGGTGCAATTGAGGAATCACCTGAATTGATCAGTGCACTGTTTGCATCAGTTTGATTATTTGACCCGGCAGAAGTGTGGATGTGTAGAAGAAGTATCACACAGTGTGGGGGTGAACGCTAACTGGGTCAGAGGAGCCAAGAAATGAAGGCGATGTGGGATTCAGCCCCTCATGAGCAGAATTCTCAGTTTTTTCCGTTGGCACCGAGCGAGAGGAACATCTGACTCAGGCCCTCAAATTGAAATTCAGCCATACTCTCCTCAGCCTCCTCTGCTCTCGTCCTGCTTTTCATTCACTGCTCCTTCCCTTCTAATGTCTTTACCTTTTCTTCTCTACTGTAACTCTGCACTTTAGATCGTCCTCCGTCACCCTCCGTCCGTCTTCGCCTCGGGTCTGCTGAGATTTAAGTGAGCAGCTTGTTTCTAAAGCCAGAAAACCTGCGCATCATAGAAGCTGTTTCAGAAAAATAGACGTACACAAAACAATGACACACTACTGCGAAATGCAAACAAACCTAAGATCACCTCCTCATGCCTGTTTATCATTTATCATACATTGCACAAGATTGGCAAACACCCTTGTGATGCGTTTAACAAACACGATGACAATTTTCCTCTGAAATGACAAAATGCTTCTTTATTTCTTTTCAGCACACATCTATAAATGTTCTGGGGGTTTTTTTTGTTTTGGAGGAAGTTGTGGTTGGCTTATTTTTTTTACAGTTCCAGCTGTGTATGAGCAAGAGTCTGTGACAGTGGGTGCTGTCCTGTACATGCTACCTGTGGGGAATTCAGATATAATATACATCATCATGCCTTTTTTTCTACTTGTTTGTGCGAACAGCTTGTTTTTCGTACATATTCTTGAACATCTGTTGAACATCTGAGGCACAGAATGACCTGACATAACTGGGTGGGCCTGTTCTTTGACCTGATATCGAGGCCCCATCTCGTGTTTAAATAAACATGATAAGCTCAGTTTTGTGCTCTTGTATTCCCCCAAATATTTTTTTATCAAATCTGGAAGATTTAGAAGTACATTTAGATTTTTTTTTTACATTTAAAGTAATAATATATGACGATCTTTACACTATCCAAAATGTTTCCAATTCAAACCCAGAGAAATCCACAATTTTATTCAAGGTAACAGGAAGTTCACTCCATGGCCTCTGCTTTAACTTCTGTGGCAAATGATTTTTGACGATGTAAAAACACACTGCTCGTCAAGTGGCAAGTTATCTGTTTTCACCTTCCATTGTTTGACTTGGTCACGATAAATCGCCATCCGCTGCGTAACGTGAATAAAACTTGAACACATGACCTCCTCCCAACCCCAAGCGGCTGAAGGCACATACTGTACGTTTAATTCTAATGCGTCAGTGATGGTTTACGCTTCTTCAATTTACAAAAATCTGTAAATCCACACAACTAAGATTCAGGAATAAGAAAAATTATTAATAGACTGTTAAATATCTGATGAATTATCTGGTTCAGCTCTATAAATGGTAGTAAGGTCAGACCAGGGTCATAGAATCCATGTGTACATCACCCAGCTCCACTGAAACAACCTGTCCCAGCGCGTTTACATCACACTGTCTGTGCTTTATACATTCAGACCTCATGTCACTGCTCGCACACTGCACACAGACCCAGCGGCGTGTTTACCAAACCAGCCGCCAGCCCTTTGACCACACATGGCCGCGCGGAGAGCAAACCCAGCTACTCTGACGCCAACAATACCAGCCATGTACGAGTCTCAATAAATAGAAGCTTTGATGGTGGCTGCTGGGAGTTCCAGGGGAGGAGGGGTGGACGCTGGGATACCTGGCGTCCCAGCCGGAGGTGGCGGTGTGTGGAGGAGTTTGGTGCAGGAGCAGAGAAGTGGAGGTCCTGACGGTGTGTGTGAGTGTGTGTGTGTGTATGTGGGAGAGTGTTTTTATAGAAGCAGACGCGTCACCACACTGGAGCCACAGGACACACTAGCAGCTCTCAGCGGACGGGCAGAGCGAGTACATTTGGTCGGCGTTCGAGGCTGATTGACTCAGAGGAAGTCAGAAGATAAATTAATTTAACTAGGCGCTTAAATAATCCTGAGAAATCTTAAAGAGATTCTGAGGAGGGGGGAGTATGCAGGGATGGGGAGGAGGGGGAGAGGTTGCGTCTCTGCGGGCCTCATAAGTGAACCTTGTTCTCTGGCCTCTCGGCCCACCACATGACGAACAGTAGCTGTGTGTGCACACACCGGCAGAGTATGACCAGGTAGTCCTGCCCAGTCACTCCATCCCTCCCCCTGCTTCCCCTTCACCCGTTGGACGAAGGCTCCAAGAGAAAAGTTGCAGGAATGGTGGAACAAGAGAGATATCTGAGGTCTGACGCCAACAAAGGAATTCTGGGTAATTCCACCGACTTAATGTGCGGTGGAGATGAGAACGTGTGTCAACTCTGTGAGCAGATGCATGGTCGGAAAAAACAACCTTAAAAATGCACTTTAAAAAATTCCAACAAGAGGGCCAAGATATTAGAAGATCGGTAGAACTCGTGCACCATCTTAAATATGAAGTCTTAGTACACCTGCAACCTGCACCCATTGGACGGTACTAGCTGTCAATCACATAGTATCCATGCAACCAATGCATACAGTGCTTTATCGTCCATTTTATTTTTTTCACTGACGCTATAAATCAAGTGACAAGTAGAGACTTGGAATCACCCTCTGCTGGTCAATTGTGAGAATACACGTTTTACTTTCGGGGCACGGAGAAAGGAAATAAAATGTCAAACTATTCCTTTAACAGTGTCTCTGTCCAGTGTTAGACCACCAGCAGCAGGCGGTGGAAAGAATAGGTCGGCCTTTCATGTGTAAAGATAAACAGTGGTGGTTTTGGTCGAGGACGTAGAGAAACAGAAGGAGGAGAAGAGGTCAGACAGAGACAGGAGGAGAAGGAGGATGGAAAGAGACAGAAGGAGGAGAAGAGGTCAGACAGAGACAAGAGGAGAAGGAGGATGGAAAGAGACAGAAGGAGGAGAAGAGGTCAGACAGACAGAAGGAGGAGGAGGGGGAGGAGGAGGAAGTGAACTGACGTCAGTGTTTTTTTACATTTTGTTTTATTTGGGTTTTCGGTTCCTCTCTGGACATGTGACATGTGGGTTTGTAAACAGGATAATGCAACAGTCATTTAAAGACAAGAAATCTAAAATGCTGAGTTGACCCACTGCACACACACAAACACACACACACACACACACACACACACACACACACACAGCCTTATTCACCATACAATCTGTGTTGCACAGCTGATCACAGGTTGAAACAAGCACTGATGTTGACTGGAATCACTCAAACGCCCACAGGTTCACACAAGCAGCCGATCCCTTCCTTTCTGTTGACTACGATGTTTTCTGCTGGTTTTCCTGTTGTTTCTGGCAAATCCGACCAAACCTCATCTGACGACTCAGACGTTCACAAAGAAACTAAAACAGAAGTTGCAAAACACCTCATAATTTCCAAGTATAAAATACAAGTCTGCTCATTTTGAATTTAGCAGCTAAAGGTCCTTCTTGGCTGTTTCCTGCTAATTATTTTGAGTTTTGGGTTTTTTGTATTAGCATGTTTTCTTTTAAGGGAAGATGAAATTATACAGCAGAACTATTCTATACTGTAGGAACTATTGTTTATCTGGAAAATATATTTAAAAGTCAAAATAAATAAAAATGTACCATGCAGTTCTCGTTTAAAAATGCAGTTTTAAGTAGAAAATATAAAATTCTGACATTATCAGTCAACCTGTATTTGTATAGTAGCTTTCATAAAGGTTTGTGCATTTCTAAGTGCATCACAATTGTCACTTCACAAAATAAGACAAAAGAAAATGGAAATGCTGCCAGAGAACAGGTTTTAAAAGTTATAACAATAAAAAAAAAGATAGAAGAAAGAAGTCAATAAAAGGGGGTAAAAGGTAGAGTTGGTCCCAGAAGATAATGTTGGGAGTAATAACACACATTTTCCTGATGAATGTAAATGGCTCTGTGAAAAACTGCCTCACACTAAAATGCTGAAATACAGTTTCCAAAGGCCTCAGGTGGTTTCCAATGTTTGGCTTCATCAAACAGAAAAAGTAAATGATTAACCATCACACAAACGAAACTCTAAACCGTCCTCCTCTCTCTCTTTCAGGCTTGGCTGCAGTCGTACGGTTACCTGCCTCCAGGTGACGTCAGAGCTCAGGCCATCCGCTCGCCACAGTCCATTCAAACAGCGATAGCAGCCATGCAGAGGTTTTATGGTTTGACCGTCACCGGCTCCATAGACTCCAACACGTTAGAGTGAGTCCTGATCAATGTTATATGATTTAATAACACATGACCGCTGGGTTTGATATGCTACTATTACAAGTTAGGGATTCAGAAGTCTCAATGTCACCGGGACGATTCCATGACAAAGAGCGGAGATATGAAGATATGTCTCCTTCACAGCTCTGGAAATATTTCACACAGCTTGAAAATGTGAATTTTTGTTGCCGTTGCCAGGGCGATGAGCCGGCCGCGGTGTGGCGTCCCTGACAAGTTCGGCCCAGAGCTGAAAACCAACCTGAGGAGGAAGAGATACGCTGTTCAGGGTCTGAAGTGGGACAAGTCTGAGGTGACCTTCAGGTCAGAATTCACTCTCTACACACACACTTACACACTGAGCAATAGTTTGATTTGACTATTATCATAGAAGACTAAAAAAAAAAATATATATATGATATAATCCAGTTTTTTCATAAAGGCGCGTCAACATAAACAAACAGTCACACGCCTTCTTACTTCCTCGCCATCCTCCAGTGTGTTATTTTGAATTGACTCCAACCGTCCGAGGCCTGAATCCCTGCATCTCTCCGTTCTTCTCCGACAGCATAGAGAACTACACCCCCAAGGTCGGGGAGCAAGGCACGTATGAAGCCATCCGAAAGGCCTTCAGGGTGTGGGAGAGCGCCATCCCGCTCACCTTCAGAGAGATCCCCTACAGCCACATCAGAGGCAAGGTCGACAAGTACGCAGACATCATGCTCTCCTTCTCGGAGGGCTTCCACGGAGACAGCACGCCGTTCGATGGCGAGGGCGGCTTCCTGGCTCACGCATACTTCCCCGGACACGGCATTGGGGGAGACACGCACTTTGACCTCGCAGAGCCGTGGACCACTGGCAATGTCGACCAGGGAGGTAAGAGAAGGAAGACTGGACGTAGAGAGATGGATCTGACTCTAGACTAAAACGTACTGAACAGGAGTTTCTCTTCGTCTGTCTTCTCTGAAGGTAATGATGTTTTCCTGGTTGCCGTCCATGAGCTGGGTCACGCTCTGGGTCTGGAGCACTCCAACAACCCGTCTGCCATCATGGCGCCCTTCTACCAGTGGTTCGACACCGAAAACTTTCAGCTCCCCGACGACGACCGCAGAGGCATCCAAACGATTTATGGTGAGTCGTTGTCTTTAGCCGTTTTCAGACATGAACTCAGAAAATATCCAGAAAACTGGGTTTTAGCATTTTCGTGAGTTTGCCCTTCATACATGAAGCAGGAGAATTATCAGGTAGGAAGCATTCACTACGACAGGAGCAGCGTTCGGTGAGAGGTGGCTTCCACATTATCCGTCTCTCATTTCTCTCTCTCTCTCCTCTTTGCTTCAGGAACTAAGTCCGGGGCTCCTCCTCCTCCTCCTCCTCGACCCACAAAACCCTCCAAACCCGAAAAACCAGACCACGGGCCAGACATCTGCGAGGGACACTTTGACACCATCGCTATCCTCAGAGGGGAGAGGTTTGTGTTTAAGGTACAACACAAACATGCAAACACGAGCATTTATGAAAATTATTTTAAAATTTACCATAAGATTCCACTGATCTCATCTTCCTCCCTCTGCGTTGCAGGACAAGTGGTTCTGGCGTGTGCGTAACAACAAGGTGCTGCCTGGTTACCCGATGCCCATCAGTCACTTCTGGAGGGGCCTGCCCTCAAACATCAACGCCGCCTACGAGAGGGATGATGGGAAGTTTGTCTTCTTTAAGGGTAGGTTCCCTCTGGAGAATAAAGTGACTTACTTTCTGGTCTCACTCTCAGTCCTTCTCATCTTGATGTTCTTTTTTCTTTCCTCCATCTGCAGGAGACAGGTACTGGGTTTTCAGTGAGTCCACCATGGACAAGGATTCTCCAAAGAGCCTGACCGACCTGGGCACTGGCCTCCCCACAGACAAACTAGACGCTGCCCTGTTCTACACACCCACAGGACAGACGTACTTCTTCAGAGGCAACAAGTGAGTCTGATCCCCCTGCTTATACCTAATATCACACCTTGTCACCGCGTCCTGACCTGAGTTTTAATAAGAAGCATCGGAAACATTCCTGCAGCCTTCGTGCAAAGATTAGATCGCTTTCCACTTTGCAAACAAACTGTTGAATCTCGTCGGGCTTATCTGAAAGTAGAAGCACAGCATTTCAGTTCTCTGAGTCATACCTCATATGTATTTGCCTTCAGTCAGAAATCTAACAGTGGAGACGTGATGGCAAATGAGAGCTGAGGGCGGAATACACACAGCAAAGAATTTAAATCCAGAAAACATTGAAACCGATGAGTCTGTGATGACACGATCAAACAATTTAAACCTTGATAATCCACAAGAGCCCCCCCCCATGCAGCACACAGATGTTCAAGATAAAAAACCTCTGTATGGGGCCATCGTCAGGATTAGAGTAAAGCTCCAGACCACTTTTTTGATTTACTTCCAAAAAATCTATTATTTCATTTCTAGTATATTTTCACTTTTATTGTCTCTAAATTTGAATTGTGAATATAGAATAATGTTAATTATAAACTTTATATGTAAACCACCTGCAGCTGGAAATGCAGATGAAGCTAAAAGCATTGTTAAAATGTAATTCAAAATAAGAAGAGAAGATATTTCATAAACATAAGAAGACGTTAAAATTAAAAGTGAAGGAAATAAAAAACAAAAAAGAAAGAAAGTGATAGAAAAAAAATTGTCTTATATAAATATAAATGAATTCTCAGGCCCGTCTCTCCTGAAGCAGTTTCGGATGGTTCTTTCTTTAACCGCTCTGTCTTTGTGTGGTTTGCAGATATTACCGCTTCAACGAGCAGACTCGCACTGTGGACAGCGGTTACCCAAAACCCATCAACATGTGGAGCGGCGCACCAGACAACATCAAGGCTGCCATCATGAGTGAGGATGGATGTAAGTTTCCCTCGTCGTCTGTCGCTGAGAGCCAGAGCGATAAATGATTGTATTAAAATTGATTAGAGACCGTTTGGATCATTTAAACATTCTGCATTTTGGCATCTTTGGAATCTGTGTTGGACACAATTATCAGACAGAAACCTAAAAATAGAAAAGTTATTATATAAACTTAAAATAATAATTTGCAGCTACATTATGAAGACACTTTTTTCCGTTTTCTGCAGCGTACACATATTTCTACAAGGCAAACAAGTACTGGAAGTTCAACAACCAGTACATGAAGGTGGAATCCGGCTATCCCAAGTCCGTGCTCAACGACTGGATGGGCTGCGAGAGCGAGGAGCCCAAGAAGGGTCGGGAAGAGGAGGTGATCATCATCGAGGTGGACGAGTCACAGAGCGGGGCCGGGCCCGTCGCCGTGGTCATCCCCCTCCTGCTGCTGGTGCTGGTGGTCGTCACCCTGGGAGCGCTTTTGTTCTTCAGGAAGTACGGCACGCCCCGACGCCTCCTCTACTGCCAGAGATCCCTCCTGGACAAGGTGTAGGCAAAGAGACGGGCGACTGAGAGACTGCCGCAGAGGGACAGAAAGAGAAGGGGAGAGAGAGAGGAAAAAAAACGAGGGCCGGGAGACGATGGAAACAGAGAAGGGGGGGAGAAGAAAGAGGAGGAGAGAGCTAGCGGAGGAAAAAGACAGTGTTATGTGTTTGGTGGTTTGTATTTGCCACGACAGAGCGGAAAAAAAAAGAAAGAGAAAGGCCCTAGAAACTGAAATCAGGAAAATGTGTATTTGTATGTTAACTATTTACATGTACTGTTGTGTGTCAGGAGGTTGAAGAACAAACCCACCGTCTCATGTAGAGAAGGGAAATATGCAAAGACTCACCTCTCCTCTCTCGCATCCCAGGTATTCAAACAACAAAAACATCCCTCCACGCTTCCTCTACTTTTAACTGGACGACTCCAGCTGAACTGCTGTCTGATTCAAGAGTCCCCCCCCCCCCCCCCCACCCTCCACCCTCCTGGAAACTTTAGAAATCTGTGTTTTGTTTTGTTTCTTACTCATAAATTCATCGTTTCATTTTTGCTGTCAAGTCCCTTGTTCGTTTGTTTTTATGGAGAAAGTTATTGTTTGACATTTATTCTCAAAAGTGCCAAAGTTCTGAGGATGAACCACGAAACATCGCCTGTGTAAACATGACTTCTTTTTTTTTTTTACCACTAAAAAGAACCTCAGACTTTTTCGGTAAAGCCAGAAATCTAAATCATCGAGTTTGATTTTTATGTGATCAAACAGATTTCAATCCCACATTTTGCTCCATTGAGACGATTGTAGTTATGCACTTGTACTTTCGCTTGTGTGAGAACTTTGGAGGAAATGCTCATATTTCTTAAACTGAAATAATTGTTTTGGTGTCGATTCTCAAGTATCGTCTCAGCACTATTGTAGAAAATGTTAAAGGACATGATTTGCCTTTTTACTTCTTCTTTCCTTTGTGAATGTAAAAGTTCTGCAAAGTTAAAAAGCCTCCTCTCCTCGACAGAAAACACTGAAGCGTCAGTAGTCCGGCCCATATTTCCGCTCTATTGAGATGTCACAATGCTCCACCCACTGGCTAATCTGGCACGCCCCCTCACAAAACCATGTAACGTACGAGCGGAAGCCGACATTTCCTGTACACGCTGGAAGCGGTTGACCAATCTGGCCAATCAGAGGAGACTGGGCTTTATCGGGAGGCGGGGTTGGCCTTAAAGAGACAGGAGCTAAAACGAAGTGTTTCAGACAGAGGCTGAAAAGAGGAGCTGCAGCGATGGACGGTCTGAGGAAAGTGATGGTTTCTGAACATTAGAGCATGAAAACATTTTTAAGTAATGACACAAGTTGAAAACTACGAATCAGAATGTCTCCTTTAAAACAGTATAAATACTTGTAAGTAACAGGACAAAGATGTTCAGGGCCAGTTGAAGCGTTTTCCCCTTGATTGTCACGTCTAAAACCAACGATGGTTCGAATCCTTTTTTCCCCAGCGCACAGCGACAGTCTGCTGCTGCGACTCCAGACGCTCGCAGGCAAAACTCTTCGTTCAGTGCAAGCAGTCAGACGGGAACTTTATAATTTTTCTTACGTGATGTTTTAACTCACAAATGGCGGTTTTGAAACATTCCAGTACTTTTGCTGTCAAACGCGAGCGCAGTAACCGGTACGGTTTCCAACAATATGGTGCAATTTTGTAATTATTATCGTTGCTATGGGACATTGTTGTTATTATAAGTATGGTTATTGTTATTATTGTTCTCCTGGTAAGGTTATGATTTTTTTTTTGTGCATTGTCATTTGGAGTCCTGCTGGACAGAGGCATAACATGACAATGGTGGAGGTGAATCCCAGTTTACATTCAGCATGTGGTGAATTAGATCTGATCAGAGGGTGAATGTGAGTTCAGAGTTTCGGATTCATCCCGACGTTGGCACAGAATAACAAACAATGCTATTTATGAACTTTGACACTGATGGTGCTCATTGTTTTTTTTTGTTTTTTTTTTTAACTCAAATCAAAATTGAAGGTGAATTGATGTAGTTAATAACAATGATAATGGTAATGATATTTATAATGATGATCATGGAATGAGATTTGTTTTTTGTTCCTGTCTGTTTTCACTTTTGTATTTCAGTAAAGTGAAATTAAACTATTTTCTACAAACAGTCGTACATATTCTTCCAATGCTTTCAGAATCTTTTCACACACACACACACACACACACTTTCACATTATACAGTAAATACAGCCATACTTGTAAGAAATATAAAAATATAAACCTCCACTTACCTGCCTTATTAAACGCGTAGACTGTAAAGTGTCATCTCCCAAAATTAAAGCCAAAGCATCTCGGCCACTGCCACCTGGTGGCTGGGTGTAGTACAGCTCCTAAGCTTCATGATTGACAGCTGAGACCGGCTCACGATTGGTCGACCATGTGTATCAGTGGGACAACGATATTTTGGCGTCCATCTTTTAATTGCAAGGGCGCAGACTCTAGTGTTCACATCCCGGATATTTTGGCTTCATTCAGGGATAGTGAGAGGAACAGTCTATGGTTCAACCCATCCTGACGTCCATACTCAGAAGGAGTTGTGAAAAGTTGCCTGATTAGAACAAAGGGAGGTGCAGTGAGACAAATGTCAGGGCCGGCAACGAATCCTCGAGGTCTGTGCACAGTTACACCACCGGTTCTCCTTCAGTCATGTGCTGAGGAATGGGTCGGAAAAAATGATAGAACGGCCACATTTTTCAGAGAAGTGTGTTCCAGCTGAGCATCTGGTATTCTTGAAACATCTGATCCTCTCGGGCTGCAGCCTGCATGTGTGTAGATAAGTGAGTGTGTGTGTGTGTGTGTGTGTGTGTTCAGTTTCATGCAAAGAAAAGTTGACGCCCTGGCTCTCCCTGACATTAACAGTAATAGTAAAAACGTGTGAAGAAAAATAGTGAGCAAAGGAAAAGACAGGAAAGGTGAGAGAAGTGAGAAGGCCACTAAAACAAATTATTTTATTGGTTTGCAGATTTCTAAAAAGCCCTTCTCTAAGCAGCCTCCCCCCTGCCCTCTCTCCCCTCTCTTATTTCCTCACCCATTGCAAAATTATTTTCTTTATGAGGCTTCAGTCTCAAACCACTCCTCCTCTCACCACAAGTATCTCTGGTCTGTTTTTGCTCTTTCTTTTCTTTCTTTCTCTGGCCTCTCCTCCCCCTCTCCTGTCCCCGTGCTCTCTGTTTTAACTCTTCCCGCGCTGCACGCTGTGAGCGTGCTGCTAAACAACAACAACAACCTGGGTAAATCACAGAAATAGAGAAAAGAGCCACAAGAATTGAACGAAAAATATTTTGTTGCAATTGTGGTTTAGTTTCTCAGAACCTGTTTTTCATGCAAGTGACATTTTCCAAGATGCATCATTTAGGTCAGGCTACTTTTACACATGGAAATTCCTGCAGATGATTGTTTATATCACATTTTCCAACAGTCGTATCGTAGTCGTATTGAAATGACAGTTTTATTATGGATTTTAATTGGATTTGTACAGCTGATCCCAGACTTTACAGGATGCCAAAAACATATTGTGCATAATATTTGTTTTATCAGATTTGAGGATGAGTTTATGTTGTAGTAGTTGTCATTAAAATGTCACTTGTCTGCGTACAAATATTCTGCCCACTAACCTGACTGACCTTTTTTTTTTTTTTTACTCACATCTGTTCCTCCACTTTCCTCCGTCACTGGCCAAACTCTGGTGTTTCCATTTGTCTCAGTGGATCTCTCTCATGCACAATAACTGTTTGGACGGATGAATCTCCACAGACACACTGATGGATGTGAGGACGCTGCTGAGTGTTCCCACACTGAAGGGTTACAAATCTAATCTTCCAGCTGTTACAGCGTGATATAGTTTATATTGTGGCCCAAGCGCTCATCATAGAATTTATGCCACAGCTTTCTGATAAAGCACCATTTACATTCATTATGTGTTTTATAAATCAGTTATGAATGTTACTAATCAGAACGTTGAGCCTGTCTGGTTGAGGAAAAAAAGATCTTGAGCAAAATCCATTTATAAACAACCTATTAAACATTTATCAATGACATTAATCCACCAGAAAAAAAACATAGATTTACTTTAATTACTTCTGTGGAGCTGTTTTTCTGTCGCCCTTTCTAGTGATTTATTTCATATAACCAGTTATTCACTGGTTGACTGCCTCCAGGCTGATAACCAGTGCTACTACTGACACTTTAGTAATTTGGGAATTTATTCACTGGTTGTGCACCAATTTTGTTTCCTGTGTCTACAACTAATTTCCCTTTAGGAGCCTTGCTAAGAATTCACTGCTCTCTTCCAGGAAATGATTAGGAAACAAAATTCAGACAAGAGACAGTGAAGTTCAATGTTATCAAAGACGCTGCAGATGAGTTTTTGAGTCAGTAAACTCATGGTAACTTTGCACAGAGCCGTTTGGAGGTGCTGCCGTGTTCATCTGCCAAGAATCTGCTTGTCCTGTCTTGTAGGTCAGAGAGATAAACACAGATGACATCGCTGGCAGCCACGTTGGCTTCTACTCTTCTTTCTCTGTCAGCCATTTTAATGCTGAACTCATTCAGTCTGGCCGGGTGGTGCAGGAACAACCATCAGGCTCAGCACTCCTGCTCCATGCCATGCAGGCAGGAAGTGGCCAGGACAGCTGCTTGCAATTCAACCTGAGACTTTGTTTGGGTGACCTACATTATGGCACAGTTTCCTCTCTGCTGTAATTTTTTTCTTGTCTTTTTCCCTCCTCGTTTTCGTCTTCTACCGGACTTCCAGTACCAGAACTGTAATAAAACCGAGGTCTGAGGTACTCGACTCGAGCCCGTCTGATATTTAAGTTATTTTTACTTTAAAGTTGGCAGAAAACAACCACTCAATTCAATGCTTTTATTTTAATTATATAATTTAAAGACAATAGACCAAGATCTGTTAAGTGTTAATAAATGGAACATTTCTTACGTCTTGATTTTTAATGCAGGACTTTTATGTAGTTGAGTGTTTTTTACGATACATTTGTACTTTTATTCAAGCGAAGGATCTCAAACTCCCACTCGAGCGGAGGCATTTTAACACACTGACATGAAATAAGACTGAAACTAATCTACTATATAAAAAGGACCAACTTCTAAGAAACCACAAAGCTTTCTGTCCAACAAACAAAGACAATTACAGCCTCCATCGTGCCAGTTCTCATACAGTCACGTTCAAAATGTTCAGGCTGGGTAATTCTGTCTGTCGAGCTAACCCAGGGTGCCCCATAGCCCAGGAACACCCAGGTCAGGAAGCGGTCTCTGGGAATGAGTTGCTGAATCAGACCCTCCACAAAACCCCCCGACTCTGCACCATCCCATCCTCCCTCACCCCCAACCCCAGTTGGCTGTGCCTGGAATCCCTCCCCGTTTCTGGTCTGTGGGTACAACTACACAGAGCCTGTCAGCTAATCCTCAAAAAGCATCTGTCTCATCCTTCACCTCCTCTCTCTTTCCTTTTTATCCTCCATCCTTGCAGACTGACCTCACCTAACACCCCCCAGAAACATTCGTCTCCCTCCTCCATCCCTCCCTGCCTCCCCTCTGTCGCCGACTTCTGCACAATAAGCAACATCTGGTTCTCATTTCACAAAAACCAAAACAACACGAGGAGGAGAGGAAGGGAGAGGTGGGGGGGGGGGGGGGTATTCACAGAAAAGCAGGATGTGAGAAGACGGTGAGTCGGGAGAAAGAATGAGGGGGTCACATTTCTCACTGTCTGAGGTCTTTTGATGCTCCAGGTGCGAGGATACGTGTGAAAGGAGGACAGGGTGGATTCTGTCGCCTTGTTAACCACTTTGACATTTCTTAAAAACACCTTTTTCAACACTTCACACCCTCTGTGGCCTGTTCTGCATCCCCACGACATGACAAACTGTCAGCTGCTTTGGTCAACTGTGTAAAAAAAAAAGTCAAGGCGAGGGGGAGAAAACTCCCATCTCCACAGAAAAGAATCTGCAACTCAGCGGCTACAGCAACCCTAATTACAGTGGGGCTTTGCTGAAGTCTGCAACAAGAGCCGGGCAACAGAGAGCAACAGAGAGGGAGAGAAAAGCGTGAGGAAGAGGGGAGAAGAAAGCAAAAGTGAGGGTGAGCAAAGGGGAGAAGGGAGGAGAGGGGGAGGCTTACCTCATTTTGTAAATAGTGGGTTTATAAGTCAAAAGACACTGCCAGTTATTGCTGACATTACAAAAGCACAGCTGCTCGGTGTCTCTGCTCAATGTCGCTGAACACAAAGACTGCAAACGACAAGAGGTCAAGTTTAATCATCCGGATTTAAAAAGACGTAGAAAAGATTCAAGCCTCTCACTCAAAAAACCTTGAAAATAACTTGTGTATTTTGTTTTTACGCTTCAGTGATGATGAAGTCAATTGTTTCTGCAGCTTGATTAAGATATTTTTTCCCCTCCTTAAAAAAAAATTTGAGCCAATACCAGAAAATATCACTTTCTGTGGGACGACGCTTTCTGCCAACTTGGCTGCAGTCGCTTAAATCATCTTTCCAGACACCAGGCTGCAGAACGGCACATTCAAGACTCAAGCTTTTCCTCCAGCTGGGTGGAGAAGTCCCTTGAAAGTACAGACAAAGTGGCTTCATATGAGTTTTGAAAAGCTTGATTAGTTTCCAAAAACCCTCACTTTCTATCTCCAAACATCTGAGTAATTTGTGTTTTTCTCTGCTGCTACTTAAGGTTTCATTTTCTTATTAAACTAAGCTGCGGCCTCTGAACATTCGTCATGTATTTTGATGAATAAACCTGACGGCATGCCAAGCTGTCAGCCCTTCACTCGCTATCTCTCTCTGTCGACAACACACACTCGTACACAGCGATGATCCTGAATCAGTTTGCCAGCTCCGCCCTTCCTCCGCCTGCCCAACACAACTCCTTGATATACTTGCCCCGAGTGTCGACACCAGACAAAATGGCGTTTGGGCTCCAGCGCTGCCTCGAAACAGAGAAATGCTGCATTCTAGTGGAGGCAGAGAGACATTAACTCTGATCCCAAAGAAATCAGCAGAAGTGTTCTAATTATAAAATCAGAAACATTTATTTCAGAAGACACAAACAGAAAACACAGACATCCTCAGAAACGTTTGCACTGAGCTGAACATCAACATGAGGTTATCACACGATGGTCAGTTTTAACTTTCAGGTTTTTTCTTCAGAAGTAGCCTCCCTTTAGGTTTTAGCAAAAGAGACTTTTTGTGCTCCTCCAGTCTTTTGGCCTCCTCCTGTTTTTCCTTCAACCTCTCTATTCCTTTGTCCACCTCATTGTTAAGCATCACGATACGTCTCTGTGAAAGGAAGGGGGGGGGGGGCAGAAATGCACGGTTGTAAAAGTGAAAATGCGGAAGAAGATGATGAAGAATAAATCTACGATACTCACAGCTAAAACTTCTCTCTCTTGTTTTCGTCTCTGCTGGCCCTTCAGCAGTGGAGCTGGTCTTCCATCTGTCCACCATAAAAGATACAGTTAACACATACACACTTTATATTACAAAACATGCTGCAAATACACACATTGTTTTATTACACACCATCACAGCTTTCCTTCATATTTGCAAAGGGCGCATTTAGAGTGACAAAGACGCAGCACAGACTTTAGAGCATAAGATAACGTTTTGGCAACGTAAGCTTTAATATAATTATTGTGTCTTATACTCGGTGCGACACATAACCTCAATAAAAGATGAGGAAACAAAACCAAAGAAGAAACTAAACAGATTACTTCCTGTAACAACCTGATGATCTAATTTAGAGGAGATCTGTCCCATTTCTTCATTTCCTAAACGATCATCATTACCTAATTATTTCTTTTTAAGTGAAATCTTGACCATAATCCATATCATGATAAAAATACTTAATATAAATAATGCTGCAAACAATATTATTCAACTGAGTTGAGAAAGTAAAAAATACCTGCAAACGACCAGTCGGGTAAATCAGTCAGAGGTCCATATTCTGTGCCGCTCCGAGCGAGTCCATGTCTGAGAGCGAACACACACACACACACACACACACACA